TTTTGAATATATTCACTATTCGTCATACGACCCTTTAGATTAGGGAAGAATGACGAGATTTCGCTTTCGTAGTGAATCATTATGAGTGTTAATCAACTGTATGGTAGTTATTTTTTAATTTTCTGCTAGTCACGAATAAGCGCACTTACCACTCCATCATGGGAGAACGGGCCCTAGTGATAAATAGTTATCCGATATGATTTTTTATAAATATTCATGAATGTTACCGACCATGTTTATTTTACTAAACTCAAAATAGCTAAAGTCTGTTAGTCAAACATTATCACCAGATTGCACTTGGATTTGACATAGAGGGCTCCTGCTTCCCTAGGGTGCCTGTTTGGATGTTTCTGTGCATATAACCAAATAACATTTTCTCTCATCTATCAGCAGACTCTTCCTCGTTTATATTCAGGTTATTCAGTTAGAAGATAATCACATACTGGCATTGTTTAGTTCTGGCTCTCCAGAATTACCTTCAAATTCAGCCAAAACTCACTATGTAGTCAGGTACGGACCGAAATAGATAGTCAGATTCCAACAATCTATCATAGACAGCCAACTAGGTGATTCATCGGGTCATCAGGTCTTCCCAAGCCATCTAGAAAAAATAAGGTTTGAATTGTTAGCTCCTAACAACGTCTATTCTCACAAATTAAACTGCACGTCACAAACAAAGTTAATGAGCACTATATAGCAATTACTATCTTCAAATCCTCCAAGTAGGACTGGCTGTAACAAGAAATAGTCGTCATTTGAGTCACGGTAGTGGAACAATGCTTAATATTTATCCTTATCATACAAATGAAATCGCAAAATCAAGTCAAACCCCCTAAAGCAAACTTAAATAACCTATAAAGTGAAGAAAATAGAAACCTCTTGTGGTAGAGATTACTTCTGGAGGTTGAGTGTTGAATCTAATGGTATGATGTAAGGAATACATTTTAGCCACAAATACTTATTACTTTGTATAAATGTATGGGCAACAAGTTAGTCTTAAAGGCAATCTTTCGGCAAAAATGCGTAATCTACACTTCCTTTTATGCCATCTAATTTGATGACAGCATGCAGCTGAAAAATAACTATCCTGTTCTGACTTGGTAAAAATACTTATGAAAATGTCATAAAACAATACTAATTCACAGGTCACAAGCTTCGCTAACGTCATACTTGACTGGGATCCAAATAATAGACAGTGTACTGTATATAACGAAAATCTGTGAAAAACCATTAAACCTAAAACGTTTTCGTATGGTTTTAGCTGCAAAATATCCAATAAGACATATTATTATGTAGACATTTGAGAAACTCATTTTGATATATGTATGTATACACAGAAAACATATCTCTGAAACATTAACAAACTTAAAAATTAGGGATAGATCAAAGCTAACTGAACACGTTAATTTTGTAGGCCAGTTTAAGAAGTAAATAAAGCCTTAAATGTGAAAGCAACTTATTCAAGTTATTTCGTCAAAACATATGCATGAACTCACCTTAAAGTTCATAATGTAGTTGCGTCCCACTTTTCAAAAGAGATATAAATCTCAGACCAAGTATAGAGACGGTCGTTCAAGTGGATGATATGGCTAAAACACAAATCTGACGAAGAGAGACTTGAACTTAACTTACTTAACTTACACCTGTTACTCCTCGTGAAGGAGCATAGGTCGCTCACCAGCATTCTCCATCCAACCCTGTCCTCGGCAATCCTTTCCAGCTCCTTCCAGTTGTAATTCATCATTTTCATATCTGCTTCTATTATCCGACGTAATGTGTTCTTTGGCCTTCCTCTCTTCCGCTTCCCTTCAGGATTCCAAGTTAGGGCTTGCCTCGTGATGCAGTTTGACGATTTGCGTAATGTATGTCCTATCCATTTCCATCGTCTTTTCCTAATTTCCTCTTCAGCTGGAAGTTGGTTTGTTCTCTCCCACAGAAGGCTGTTGCTGATGGTATCCGGCCAATGGATGTTGAGTATCTTGCGTAGACAGCTATTTATAAATACTTGTACTTTCTTGATTGTGGTTGTTGTAGTTCTCCAAGTTTCAGTTCCGTACAGTAGAACTGACTGCCTTGACGTTCGTATTGAAGATTGTGACTTTGATATTGGTTCACCGTTGTTTTGAGTTCCATATGTTCTTCAATTGTAGGAATGCTGCCCTTGCTTTGCCAATCCTCACGTTTACGTTTGCATCTAAACCACCTTGTTCATCGATGATGCTTCCCAGGTATGTGAAAGATTCTACATCTTCCAGAGTTTCGCCATCAAGAGTGATTGGATTGCTGTTCTCCGCTTTGAATTTGAGGACCTTGGTTTTCCCTTTGTGTATGCTGAGGCCTACTGATGCAGAGACTGCTGCTACACTGGCTGTCTTCATCTGCATCTGTTCGTGTGTACGTGATAGGAGGGCTAGGTCATCTGCGAAGTCCAGATCGTCTAATTGGTTCTGAGCTGTCCATTGTATTCCGTGTTTTCCTTCAGATGTCGAGGTCTTCATAATCCAGTCGACCACCAGAAGAAAGAGGAAGAGAGAGAGTAGACAGCCTTGTCTGACTCCGGTCCTTACTTGGAATGCATCTGTCAGCTGTCCTCCATGCACTACTTTGCACTGTAGTCCGTCGTATGAGTTCCGGATAATATTGACAATCTTCTCAGGAACTCCGTAGTGTCGAAGAAGTTTCCATAATGTCCTCCTATCTACACTGTCGAATGCCTTTTCATAATCAATGAAGTTGATGTACAGTGACGAGTTCCACTCAACTGATTGTTCGACAATGATCTGTAGTGTTGCAATTCGGTCTGTGCACGACCGATCCTTACGGAATTCAGCTTGTTGATCTCGAAGTTGGGCGTCTACTGCATCCTTCATCCGGTTCAGCAACACTCTGTTGAAGACTTTCCCTGATATTGACAGTAGTGTGATGCCTCTGTAGTTTTCACATTTGCTCAGATCTCCTTTCTTTAGAATTTTGATGAGGTGTCCTTCTTTCCAGTCCATTGGCACTTGTTCCTCCTCCCAAATCTTTTTGAATAGAGGGTAAAGCATGCTTGTGGTTACTTCGACGTCTGATTTCAGTGCTTCAGCTGGTATGTTGTCGGGTCCTGCTGCTTTCCCGTTCTTGATTTGTCTGACGGCCATTCTAATTTCTTTCGTCGTTGGTGGGTTGACATCTATAGGAAGATCTGTGTGTGCTGCTTCGATGTTCGGTGGATTCATTGGAGCCGGCCTATTCAGGAGTTCCTCGAAGTATTCTACCCATCTGTTTCGCTGTTGTTGAATTTCAGTGATTGGCTTGCCTTCTTTGTCTTTGACCGGCCTCTCTGGTTTACTGTATTTCCCTGATAGTTTCTTCGTTGTATCGTGAAGCTGTTTCATATTTCCTTCTCTAGCAGCTTTTTCTGACGTCGTTGCTAATTCTTCCACGTATTTCTTCCTGTCGGCTCTAATGCTCCTCTTCACTTGCTTGTTTGCTTTTATGTATTCAGCTTGTGCTCGGACTTTCTCTGCTCGTCTTCGGCTGTTGTTAATTGCTGTCTTCTTGTTCTACCTTTCTTTGATCTTGTCCAGTGTTTCTATAGAGATCCATTCCTTATGATGGTGTTTCTTTAGGCCCAGAACCTCTTGACACGTTGAAGTCAATGTTTCTTTGATGCCTTTCCAGTTGTCCTCCATGGTAGTTTCTTCTTCCTTCAGTAGATCTTGAAAGGCTTGGAACCTGTTGTTGAGAGCTATCTTGAATTCATTGAGTTTGTCAGTATCTCGAAGGAAGGCTGTATTGAACCTTTGTAGTACTGTTTGTCCACTTGTCCAGTTCTTTTTTAGCTTCAGTTTTAAATTGGCTACAACTAGGTGGTGATCTGAAGCTACGTCAGCTCCTCTCCTGGTTCTCACATCTTCCATTGTCCTTCGGAATTTTTTGTTGATGCAAATATGGTCTATCTGGTTCTCTGTAGTGTGGTCCGGTGAGATCCATGTTGCCTTGTGTATACGTTTGTGTGGAAATATTGTGCCTCCTATGACTAATTTGTTGAATGCACACAAATTTGCAAATCTTTCTCCATTTTCGTTCCTCTCTCCCAGTCCATGTCTTCCCATAATATCTTCATATCCAGTGTTGTCTGTTCCGACCTTGGCATTTAGATCTCCCATCAGAATGGTGAGGTCCTTTCTTGAGCATTTCTCTATGATTGACTGCAGCCGCTCGTAGAATTGATCTTTAATGTCGTCGTTGCTATCATTGGTGGGTGCATAACATTGGATAATATTCATTAAGATCCCCTCCTTCTTTGTTTTGAATGATGCTTTGATGATTCTGGATCCGTGGGATTCCCACCTGGGTTATTCTCATTGAGCTTCAGATGAATATGAGGTGATCTGATAATTGCATATAGCTTATTAAGCACATCACGCCGCCACAAAACGAGCATGTGACTAGAACATCATTACGACGCTCCTCGAGGCATCTATAGGAAGATGGCACATCAAAGGGCGAACACATAGGTAAACTTTCACTTTTTCTTATTAAGAGTGGCCCCCAGTTGAAATGTTCACCCAAACAAAGTGACCACTATCCATCCAGTGGATAGCTTCATGACGAGAATTGACGAACACGTACCCACCCATGGATTACCATATCCAACTTGAGCCGACTGTGTCTGGTTCATGTCTCTTAAACTATCACGTCACCATGAGTATTTCCCATGTCACTTATTATCAACTACGTTACACTCCCACTCCTTTGATTCCGTCTTCTTACAGTTTATTAATTAGGTAAACTACTTTTCTATCCTTTAAACAATCATATTCTCTTAACACTCAAATTATCACTCACTATGCATCTATACAACAAGTACAACTCATGCAGTCAGGTGGTCAGACTGTCATCAACTGAGTAGTACAAAACAATGAGAAGTGAGGACAAAAAAAGATTCTGTCAATACGAGTTCGTGACAAAGATATTGGATAGTCATTGAAAATTGGATAAAATCACTATAGTATCATATTTCACGAAGTTCAAAAATGCTGATCAACATTACAGATTTTCGTTGGTGTGAAAATCTTTCAGACATAGACTTAATTGTACCACTACATGGTATAAGTGCATCAAATGTAGACACACTTATTACAAGTCAATATGTTAAAGTAAGTTGCACTGAGTGTCATTCACTTCAAACTATTTGCCATTTAACGCTTGAATAATAAAATAGTGATAGTAGTACCTTCTTTTCATCACTATAAATCGGCTTCCAATTAAGCTGTCTCAGTATATTTGGAAAGTGACTTTGTCTCTCACACGAACTAAAGGTATAAATGTTAAATGTGTGGTGTCTAGTACCAATATTCACACGTGACTCATCATTTTTTTTCACAATAACCCTTTCGATTCTATAGGAAGTTGTGACCATAAGAATTCTCACACGTTATGTATTTGAATCCTTGTATCTATACACTCACGCGCCTTGTGTGCACTTGTTTGTCCGTTATCCAACTTCCGTCTCTTTGTTACACTGCTATCTATTTTGAGCCATATTAACGCTTGTAATGAATATTATGGCGATTTAGTATGGTTACCTACTCCAGTCTATTTCTCCGATTCGTACATCTTATTGTCTGTCTGCGTAACGAGTGAATGAAATATACGTATCCAGAATTCATTATCTCATTTGATTTGTTCTGTTATTATTTAGTTTTAAATAAGTCCATAATTACATATGATAGTAGCCGGCATGTATATTTCGTTTACATCATTAAACGAACTAAGCGGAGTCAGATCAACGGGTCATTAAAAATGCTGTATGGTTCAGGTAATAGATAGAACATTTAATCAACTAAAAACGGAGACATTTATGACGTTATGCACACTGTTTTTGCAGAAAATCCAAGCTAGCCCCTGACGAAAAGTGGGTTAGTTATAAATTTGGATGACAACAGCATAGCTAACTGAGATCAAGAGGTGGCTAATACATTTAATCTCAGAGCTTTTGTATGACCATAGGTTAAAAAAGTTAAATATGGTCCTCTTACTATCTGGAAAGATTGAAGTTGATCAGTCTTACTAGATCAGAGGCTCTAACACTCCTGTTTTCATTACTTGGTTGTACATATAGTCCTGATATAGTTTGTGTTTCTCAGGGTTGAGTTTATTGAGCTACATTAAGTGAATAAATTTCGTTAACATTAACAAAATACCTTAAAAGTTAGCAATGAAATTATATAACGTATTCATTTAAACTTAAAATAGCAAACCGACCTAAGCTAAAGATTGAATGAGTAAAGTCTTAATTATTTTAGTTTCAATCAATTTTAATAAAATCGACTATAAACCCCGATTTTTTGTGTCGTGAAAGTTCCATAATCCTCAACTTATTAGAAATTACAGTCTTTAATTGTGGAAGAGAAGGCCAGTTATCAGTACTCTCTTGTTTCAATTTCACTTTAGTTGTATTAGTTCATGGTACTGACTGCGTATGCTTTGAGGGTTTTGGCGATTTACCGGTTGATTTTTGAACTTACTGCACGTTTAATCAAATGATGCTATATGAGGATCTTTAACTCGTTTAAGTCTGGAGTAATCTTTATCCAAGTGTGGCTCGTATTCCTCTCCAAGTTGAATTATTTAAATGCTTAAATCATTCAATGGGTATATAAGCGTCCCTTATTGAGCTCATTGTAGATCCACAACTTTTGCACCATGAACAGGATCTTTGTTACTCTAAACATTCACAGGAGGTTTATTAATCATCGAACATCAGCTCATAGTCTCATGAAGCAAAAACAACTTAGAGGAGCAGAGAAATCTACAAAGGCAATTAAGATTCTGGCCTACTCTACTGCTTCTGTGCAGCTAGTACTCATCTAGTCATAGCCAGTAGGTGTTAGGGTGATTTTAACCTTAAATATCACTTATCACTGTACCCTATCTTCAGATAAAAAAGAGGTGAGTAGGTTGCTCACATACTCAGTTTTAACAATCACATAGACTAAACACCCTAGTTACATACACAAGTAAAAACGTTTCTCAAGAAGCCAAAAATATAAATTCATGTTGTAAAATCCAAAAAAGCTGATAGAAAACGTAGAAAGTATGTTTAAAGTCGTTATAGGTTCTAGGAACAAAACAGTACAACTAGTGGAAAACTTTGCAACAAATCAAATTTTCAGCGATTACGTTTTTGACCACTGAATAAAAAACCTAGGATAACTTAAACGTCACCGAATATCGGTTTTTTAACAATACCTGTCCAGACTCAGAGAATAATCAGAGCGTAGACTTAGCCAAGGGAGATCTCACTTTGTGATAATATATAACCACATAGCTTCAGTTATTTTATCCTGCTAAGTTTATTAACCTTAAGGGTTCATACTTGTTACTACGTTCAAATTATTTTAAAAATTATTATAGAACGAATTTGCAACAGATATATATGATATAAATCGTTTCATCTAGTCGCTAGAACAAAACAAAATTAACCAGTTTAGTCTGAATTTCGACCACGAGCATATTTTCTAAAACTTTCAGGTTTGATTAGTAAGCATAAAACCTTAAAAAGATTCCCTTTATCCCGCTGACAACTTTCTGGCTCATCAATATTATAAACGTAGAAAGTTACTCAAAACAAACGATCCAATAAATGTAACACAACACATACTGTGAATCAGGTATCAGGGACATTAGTGCCTTTTAATTTTTAATCTAAAATATTAACAATTTATTAGTTTATTTAGTCCATAATTCTAAGGTTACATTTTACCAAATCATCTTTATCGAAAGCTGATGTAATTACTCTACGTATGTCATTTAATGAAAAACTTTTAATTTATTTAGTTTTTTCCTGGGTCCATATGAAAATATTGTCATCCTTATTCTAACCATAGGTATATATGTTTTATTCATGATTCAATAACCACATAAATTTAAGCTTTTTTGATCCATTTTGTTTGTTTGATGCTACTGAAGTGCATAAAATCTAGTAAGAAGAACCTGTCTCGATTTATAAATTTACTGACTTTTTTTCAGTATCTTGTTTTGGTTACATGTGAACAAACTTTGATAAATTGTAGAAGTTTCTGACTGTTATCACAGACACTTGCAGCGTCTAGCACATGTAAATGTACTTGCGTTTTCAAGATATATGAACAAATTTACCTATATATACTCTTAACATATTAGATTAGAAGTTACCACTGGATACTTAAATTTATAACCACAGGTTATAGACAGGGAAATATTATATTTCTATTTTGAATCTTATGGTTTCCATAGGTTGTTATCAAACCGTACATTTTTGAATGTGCTTTGTACAAACCGATCAATGTTGAAGAAAGTACTTTGAAACTAACAGATGGTGCGGCCGAGTTTAACCTCAAGAAATCTAGTGCTGAACTATGGCATCAATTGACATTGGATGACATGAGTAATTTTGTAGATATATTTTATTTTGTTACTATACTTTTTACTAATTAAGAATTAAGATGCTTAATATTTATAGATCAATTAACACTTCAGAGGACAGAAGACGTTTGTTACAGATTAAACAAAATGCCATACTTGAACATCAAGAACGCGAAATGAAACGCGCTAAAGCAAACAAAGACATGAATGTAAGGGGTGAAAAATACGCATTGGAACAGGTTATGGAAGTAACTTCCTGTAATTATCTTTAAATAAATTGTCGTTGTTTATTAGTTAGAGAATATGTTTCGTGAAAAAATTAGACTTGAAAAAGAGCACGCTAGCAAGCAAGCAATAAGCGAGTTTGTAAATGCTTTTAACCAATCTAGCCAAAAAGAAAATGAGGTAAGTATCCAAGAATATAACATGAAGTCAATTTCTGCATTATACTAACATAGGCCGAAACGTTGCTGGAATTATCAAAGGATATTATTTAAGCTGACTGAAAGAGTGTAGAACCTGCCGCAATAATGCTTCAGTTTGATTTGCCAGAATTATTACCATCGAGTGTTGGAGAAACAATAAATGTAACTTAAAAAAGGATGCAAAGATAAGAAATAAATGCACATGAATAACCTTGACTAAACTTCTATTGTTCAGAGATGGTAAACTGTAGACGTTGATTGACACCAATATTGTAATAAATTAACAGTAAATTTAAAAATTTATCTCTGAACCATATATAATGATTTATTGTAGTGTTACCTTGTCATGTTTTGTCTACCTCAAGGTCCTTTGTCATCCTACTATTACTTCTGATAATGGTACATTTAGGAGTAAACAGTGAATATTTTTTCCGATCATTCAACAGTAGGTGCTCCTAATTCGTCCCAGCATCAAAAACCATCACTAAAACTTTCAAGGAAAGAAAATTCCTCTCTCTAAATGACTAAACTGAATTTTTTCCCATTTAGTCTTTTAAAATTAATTAACCACCGAAACTGCTGGGACTGAGAATAGGAATAAACCAAGTACTTAGAAGTCTATCTTCCAAATATATCCCTACTAATCGGAATTATGGGATAGGTATCTGAGATCTACATTCATAGAGTCCACTGATTTGTCCTTCCACTTTATCATTCATTTCGGCACCATAGACATGATTTATTTCTCTGTGTACGGGACTAGCCACTTTTGGTACTTTGATATTCAAATGATGTTCCACGGTAATTTCTACCATTAAGGATAGGAACTAGTTTCGATTGACTCCTCAACTATTATTAAATTGTTTGACAGACGGATCACGCTATATCGTTCGGGAAAAAATTCTATCGACTACTCACTTAGTCTGGTTTCTAGGATAAATCATCGTAAGTACTTTCTGATCTTAAGTAAACAACTGATTCCATATACTTTGGCGATGTTTGAATAAAAATAAAAATAAGATTTTATCCAATATCTTTCTTTTGTAAAGTTGTTTTCTATCAAAAGATATGTTAACCATAACCATTTCAAGATATATAGATATGGTATAAGTTTCAAGCCTTCGTAATATGCAGCGGACATTAAAGATCACGGAGATAAACCAAAATTTATACTATGTCATAACCAAATAATAATGCAGTTGTATGATTCTGGTATTTTACGCCCTATCTAAGTCAGCGGCTTCTGATTAATTAGTAAAATACGCAAAAACTCAACGATCACACATACAGAATTTTGTATTCATTCGTAAAATGACGAAATTAGACTACTTTTTGATGCATTTGAATAGTAATATTCGTGTTTATTAGGACTTATGAAAGTCCTTAATTGAAAATTTGTCCATAAAATCGATAAATCCAAAGAATACTCTATTAAAGTAGGTTTTCTTTCCATGACGTCTCAGAAGTAACATACTATTGAACTAAGTTTTACAAGACTTACAATCAATCACTCAGTAAACTGATAATTTGAACTATTTTAGGAACGCAGTAAATTCTTAAATCCTCCGGTTTGTTAAAGTTTTACTATGATCGATTTATTATTATTATTATTATTATTATTATTATTATTATTATTATCAATTTGATGTATAATATGGTTTATAGAGTAAACCTCTTCTTTAAATTAGTGCAAATAAGTGAACAAACGTTAATTTAGTTTTTTTTTTAAATACAAAGCTGCAAAATGAAATTACAGAAGCCCGAAGATTTGCTAAACAATATATAACAGAAACCATTAATGAAGAAAACAACGGTATGTCGATAAATATCTTCCTCTTTTTCAACAGAATTACTCATATTAGTGGAATTAAATAAGAATATCCAACAACGTTTAGCATTTGTTGAGAAACCAATAGATTTGCCAGTGAGGACTTCATCTACAATCGAAGTTAAATTTACACCTAGAGTATTTCCTACACCTGAACGAGAGTCTACAAAACAAGCTGAGGATGAGGTAATTTTAACGGAAAATTACATTTGATCTCATAATACAAACTAACTTCTAGCTATTAAACTATTTTTTATAGTTTAAACTATAGTGTTATTGTACTCTCCTATTATAACTTCTCATGAATAACGTCAACATACTCACCTGCCCGATGTGAAGCAAAACTCACCGTACTTTTATATTTACTTATTTATATTGTGCCTGAGTTCAGGAAAAATGGACAGCTCCTAACGTTTCAGTTAGTTATTTTATGACACATGTTATACTGATGTGAAACTTTAATACGGGAACGAGAGTGTTGAAATTTAGTGATTTTGTGGTCTCACAATGTTATTTCATACACCCTGATCCCTTGATAAGTTTGATTAAAGTGAGAAGAATAAGATTTTCAGGACGACATGAATTTATTGTATTCCAAGGCTTCTCAACCGCTTCAAACGGCGTGAAGCTACATTAAGAATATTATAAACAAAATTTTACAAATTGTTGTAAATTAAGCTTAGTTCAAAATGACAAAAAAACATAAAGGGCAAGAAGAGAAAACAATATATTTGGAGTAATCATTGAGATGCATGTGTTACTGTATTTATATCCTCTCACCCTTTCATTTAGTGGCTAACTAAACAAGCCGAATATAGAAGAAAACTATTGGACCGTGTTGTACCTGATGATTTGTCCAGGAATGAACTAGATCCTATATGGTTACGCAAAAAAGGAGAGTAAGTTTGGTGTTTTTATTATGTATGGTCGAGCGGTCAACCTCCTGCTGTAGACAAATTTATATGTCAGTTAAGATATTGCCGATTCTTGTTCAATAAAATTAGTGGCGTCAGTCATTGACTGAATAACTGAGTCAAGTTAGAAGGTGTGAGTTACCAGGTTGAGGTTCGCGTGGTTATCGTACCTATTGGTTAAAGACACTGAGTGACATGGCATAAAATTGGTCGCAAAGGTGAAAATTCATTCACTCCTTGTCTTCACTCAGATCTTGAGTTTTAGAATTATCTCATGGCATTTTTATTCCGCATACTCATTCTCTTCTCTTAAACCATATTGTTTATACCTAGTGCTTTCTACTGCTATTGATACGGTTGCTCCTTCTACCACTCTGATATCAGGCTTGGTAATTCTGTTTCGATGTGCTGACACGGTGTGGGAACTTGAATCAGTGCACATATGTACCTAGTTTTAAGTTGATTATAACTGGCTGACTGATTAAAAATTTTAATAGTTTGTGGGAAATACGTAGATGGAATCCTTTGTCATCTGCATACTGAGTAAATTACAGGTTTGCAAGAAATTACATTTGAGCCTGTTAACTAGATGAACATAAAGAGATTGTTGTGTGCATGTAGTTGAACTACCCATATCTTCACTGCACTAAATAAACCAAACAAAAGTTAAATACCATTGACAAATAACCAGTGATAAATCTTCAAAAACTTTTAGCATTATGGTGAGTGCTACTGATTTTGACAGATATAAGTAGCATGTATCATCAGTTGAAAGTGAAATACCTGGAGGCAGAATGTTAAAAAGATCAAAGAAAAGAGAACGAAAACAAAAAAATGATTGGTGTTGAATCAAAGGAACAATGAAGTCTGAGACTATTGAAATACATTTGTGGAAGGAACAGTCAGGTTTAAGATAATTGCTTGACATTTTGCAAATTAAGTATTTACTGTATGGTTCTCAGATTTTACTAAGATTTTCTATAATTTTGTATTCCCATGTATTTGAATGTAGATATCACTCTATATTACCGTACTTAGAAAGAACAGATAAATATTGCATTGACGAGTAGAACCTATAGGCCATTCTTTTTGGTGGAGTTTTGCTCTCTGAGCTGGACGGTTTGGTCGTGAAGTTTAGAGAACAAAACTCCACCAAAATCATCCACCCGAGCTACAAATCTTCTCCACCATCTCAAAGGCCATTCTTTAATGCAGCGACATCTATTTGTGATTTGAACCAAAGGGTCACGAAAAACCGGTGGATCACTACTAAGTCTGTTACACTGATAGATTCTTGCAAACTCATCTTATCAGGCTCTGAACACGATGAACAGCGTAAACAAATCAGATCTAGGTTAACCAAGGTCTAAGGAACGACCGTGAGCAGTGGTGGGCAACGAAGGCAAAAGTGATGGAGAAGGCGGCGGCTATAAGTAACACAAGACAGCTCCACAGACTAATAAAAGAAACTGAAATTAAGATGTTGGGTGTAAGTGAGACGATCTTGGAAAAAGACAACACAATCTTTCTTTTATATGTTACTACCATTGAAGTAACAACTTCTATGAATTTAGTGTTTATCATGTTGTGCTAATGAGGTGTGGTATGTTGGACCGATGCTGCAAAATGTAGCACTGCCGCAAAAAATCTGACCTTACCTACAGTCTTCAATTCAACCCGTATTAAATAATAATAATATATTATTACGTGCTGATAGATCATCTGTTGCTTGGTTTTTTAGATAAACTGATCTTAACTTATACTTGATATCTGGAGACTGTATCATCTAAATGAGTTGAATGGGCCGATTATGAAAGTCCAGTTTTTCATTTGTCTCACTCTGAAAGAATATCATTATTACTAACTACGTTGTATCATTTCTTCGAATGCAGTTATGATTGTAACTAATAAACTGTTTACGTCATTCGAAATTGTTTTTATAAAACATGTGACGTAAAATTGCGTTGCATCAGCCTAAACTGTTACACTTCACAACGACATACAAACAGAATTAAAATGGATAAAAGGTTATTATTGTAAACAGGAACGAGTGAGTGTTTATGCACTACTATAATCAAGGTATATGCTTTTTACCACTTCTAGGAATATAGTTCAGTTGTTTACAGTCATGTGCTTGAGTCAGATAAGTCTAAAAGCACAGTTTCTATGAAAAAAAGTCGATCAGACGTTGTTATGTTTTATGAAAATGCAAAGAAAGTGTATCATAAGAGGGGTTTGTAAATATGATAGAATACTTTCTTTTAAGTTTATTAAATATAAGTGTTATACATTCTTATATTAAAAATAAATTCATTCATTATCTAACTCAGAGAGAAATATTAATATGCAATGTTTAACATTTTATTATTATTTGTCTCTTTTTTTCGAAAGTTCATTATTTCAAGCTGGAGATTATGAAGCTGCTGTCATTGCTTATACAGAAGCTATAACACAAAATCCTAAATTACATTCGTATCCTTTATGTTAAACTATTGAATAATTGGAAGAAACTTATTTCTATTTAGTATTCATTTTAAATTTCATAAAATTCTACCAGATAATCAGTTTATATCACAAATACACCCTCATTTTGAAGTGATTCTTTAAATGAATTGTCATTTTGTGATAAAAGATTTACTTCCTCCAACCACCATCTAATCTTAACATAGTGCAATCAATGTTGAGTCACCTAGACTAGTGGCCACATTGCAGCGTGGTCGATATTATTCGATTTGCATTAAGAAGGACTTGATACACATGACATTGATAACCATCCAGTGATCAATCAATTGAAATTAATCTACATAACTCTTTTATTTTAAGAAAAATCTCTTTCAGTAGGGAATAAACAAAATAGTGATCTTGATGATGATACGCTGAATTAAGTAAAATTAATTCACATAACAAATTAGAATCCACCTTGTTTTTGTTTTTCATAACTCAAACATAAGATAAATAATATGATATATAACAAGTCTTACTAAATGAACTCTCGATCTGATTTCCTAGCCGCTTCTAATAACCCCAGGTTGAATCTATATGGCAACTTGAACATAAGAGAAAAGGCGCGAAAACTATTGATAAGAATTTATTTGACTGCCGAAATAAATCGAAATAATCTTAGAATATATTACATTTTATATGGTTTGTTTAGTTAGATTAATTTACAGGTTTGTATACATTGAAATGAATTGTATTTAATAATAATAGTTCATTAACATACTGTTTGAATACATTTACTGTATTATATAATGAAGCATTTATAATGATTCTTCAGATATGAATACATGTTATACAAGATTGACAAAAGAAAATCAATTTCATATGTCGTTCGCGTTCTAATTTATTAAACCATTACTCTCTATAACAATTTTCTTTGCCTATCAAGTTATTTCCTCTTCAAACGAATTTCTCATTATCAAAATTCATCTTTAATTTTAATTTAACTGCATTCATATTGTTTATACGAATATTCATCAAGATTTGAACGAATCGTTTGACAGAAATTGGGCGCCAAGTATAGAGAAGTCATTATATATGAAAATTATATTTGAAATAATCTAAGAAATTGAAATTGAAATAATTTCAACGTTTCGTCCAGCCAACTTGTCATGGACTTCTTCAGGGTAATAATCAAAATCACCAAATTAATATATAGCTTTTTAACAACCAAAACTATACTGTGTTAAACCAATCAAATTTGGATGTTGATTTGTATCGGTCTATAAATATTTTATTCATCAGAAGCTAATAAATGATAGAAACTGAAAATTTATTCCTGAAAAAAAGCTAAATTGTTCATTTGTTTCAGCAACATTAAAATACACTACTAATTATAGACTGATTAATCATAAGAGATTAATTAATATCTGTTACTTGGTGTTGTTAGACTTCTCTAAATCAAATTGTACTTTGGCCACTAGTCTAAGTTGCTCAATATTCCATATAGCATTTTCTGCTGTTGAGTGGTTGGAGATGATTGGAAGGAAACCTTAGATCTAGGTTTCATGCTAACAGGTACTTGTTAGTTACATCTATCTTTCGATAGCGAAGTCGATCCATTAGATCAGGACCTATATTACTCGGTATCCTAATTATTATTTGCAAGTAAAATACCTAAAAACATTTTGCATAATAATCGGTACTTTTTCATCTTACTATTTTGTGTTCTGTGAAGGTTATCGTGCAAACTATTTTATTCTGTTGATATACGGAAAAGCATGTTCTCTGATTTTAGTTATCCTTAATAATAACCAGAAGGTGAATGGAAATTTTATTTCTCATCATATGCGTTTATTCTCGTGTAAGTAAATTTCATTTTAACCAAGTAGAACAGTTTTTAAAAAAAACATAATTATAATCTAGTTATTGTGGATGAAGTGACAATAATCCATGGAAAAGTTTGCTTAACTGTATATTGAAATATTTTGCTGAAAAATATCTGTTTCTATTCCTTAATCCAAATTTCGAAAATTCAATTAAAGGGCTTATTCGAATAGAGCTGCATGTCACTTACAATTGCGGAATTATTTTAAGGCTCTGGAAGATAGTTCGATGGTACTAGATCTTTGTGTACCGCCTGTAGCGCAAAATTTAAAATCACGTGTGCGTGCACATATTAGGCGTGGAGCAGCATTTTGTAATCTACAATTGTACAAAGAAGGTGGGTAGGTTGATAACTATATTAAATATTGAATTACTAGGAAAATTCACGACCTACTATACTTACTATACCATTTTTACTGTTACGTTTATCTGTCAGTATGATTTATTTATTGAGTGTACTAACTGACACATTTCTCAAGATTAAGTGTATATAGGTTGCACGTATTGTATCTTGTAAATAAAACCCGTAGTACGATTAAGGATAATAAGGAGAAGCATTTACCTTAGCATACAATCTGAAATAATAACGTCATTAGTCACACACATTATACAGCATAAGATTATGTTACTTATTATATGTTGTAGTTTAGAGTATACATTGTTTTAAACTTGGATGATAGTAGTATCGATGATTTTACCCTTAATATATAAATATACGAGTGACAGAAAATACAACAATTTCCAGTCTCCTAAAATTGAAGCTGAATTCCAGTGATCCAAACTCGTGACCTAAACTACTATCTTATGCTTTCAAACTCCTTTTAGTTAAATTTTTGGAAAAAGACAATATTTCGAAGTGAAGTGTTATGGTGATGACACTTTAAAATATTAGTTTTATAAATTTAGTTTGCCTGGTAAATTTGAACACAGCAAAAACAACAAGATCCTCAAAATAAAATGGAGTCATTCTGTTTCAAGGCTTTTTATCGGCTCTAAACAGCCTAAAATTACATAGAGTGATATAGTTAGAAACATATTTGATATACTTATGTGAGTGTATTGGAGTTGAATGTTCGAAACAGGATCAAAACCATGAAAAGGCGAATAAGACACATTTTATTAAGCAGTTAAGACTGATGGATTTTTATATTTGGGAATTATAGTCGTTCAGAGTAGCGGAAGTGAGATCATTGACACTAGTAATCATAATGAAAAAAATGATAAATAATCAGTCAATATAATTTGCATCGAGTTCAAATCAATTAATGAGCATCATTAATATTATGTATGAGGTGGAAATTACCCGATTACAATTATATTTCCCATAACAAAGATAGAATTATCATGCTTTTATTCCGCACATATAGGTTAAGTCTGGAAAGTCTGATTACATTCGCCTTGTTATGGTGGTGAGATATCTTCACAAAACTATCAAAACATCCTATCCATTCACATTACTTACTTACTTACGCCTGTTACTCCTCGTGAAGGAGCATAGGCCGCTCACCAGCATTCTCCATCCAACCATGTCCTGAGCAATCCTTTCCAGCTCTTTCCAGTTGTTATTCATCCTTTTCATATCTGCTTCTATTTCCCGATGTAATGTGTTCTTTGGCCTTCCTCTCTTCCGCTTCCCTTCAGGATTCCAAGTTAGGGCTTGTCTCGTGATGCGGTTTGACGATTTGCGTAATGTATGTCCTATCCATTTCCATCGTCTTTTCCTAATTTCTTCTTCAGCTGGAAGTTGGTTTGTTTTCTCCCAGAGAAGGCTGTTGCTGATGGTATCCGGCCAATGGATGTTGAGTATCTTGCGTAGACAGCTATTTATAAATACTTGTACTTTCTTGATTGTGGTTGTTGTAGTTCTCCAAGTTTCAGTTCCGTACAGTAGAACTGACTGCCTTGACGTTCGTATTGAAGATTGTGACTTTGATATTGGTTCACCGTTGTTTTGAGTTCCATATGTTCTTCAATTGTAGGAATGCTGCCCTTGCTTTGCCAATCCTCACGTTTACGTTTGCATCTAAACCACCTTGTTCATCGATGATGCTTCCCAGGTATGTGAAAGATTCTACATCTTCCAGAGTTTCGCCATCAAGAGTGATTGGATTGCTGTTCTCCGCTTTGAATTTGAGGACCTTGGTTTTCCCCTTGTGTATGTTGAGGCCTAGTGATGCAGAGACTGCTGCTACACTGACTGTCTTTATCTGCATTTGTTAACGTGTATGTGATAGTAGTGCTAGGTCATCTGCGAATTCCAAATCGTCTAATTGGTTCTGAGCTGTCCATTGTATTCCATGTTTTCCTTCAGATGTCGAGGTCTTCATAATCCAGTCGACCACCAGAAGAAAGAGGAAGAGAGAGAGTAGACAGCCTTGTCTGACTCCGGTCCTTACTTGGAATGCATCTGTCAGCTGTCCTCCATGCACTACTTTGCACTGTAGTCCGTCGTATGAGTTCCGGATAATATTGACAATCTTCTCAGGAACTCCGTAGTGTCGAAGAAGTTTCCATAATGTCCTCCTATCTACACTGTCGAATGCCTTTTCATAATCAATGAAGTTGATGTACAGTGACGAGTTCCACTCAACTGATTGTTCGACGATGATCCGTAGTGTTGCGATTTGGTCTGTGCACGACCGATCCTTTCGGAATCCAGCTTGTTGATCTCGAAGTTGGGCGTCTACTTATCTTTCATCAGGTTCAGCAAAACTCTGTTGAAGACTTTCCCTGATATTGACAGTAGTGTAATGCCCCTGTAGTTTTCACATTTGTTCAGATCTCCTTTCTTTGAAATCTTGACGAGGTGTCCTTCTTTCCAGTCCATTGGTACTTGTTCCTCCTCCCAAACCTTTTTGAATAGAGGGTAAAGCATGCTTGTGGTTACTTCGACGTCTGATTTCAGTGCTTCAGCTGGTATGTTGTCGGGTCCTGCTGCCTTCCCGTTATTGATTTGTCTGACGGCCATTCTAATTTCTTTCGTCGTTGGTGGGTTGACATCTATAGGAAGATCTGTGTGTGCTGCTTCGATGTTCGGTGGATTCATTGGAGCCGGCCTATTCAGGAGTTCCTCGAAGTATTCTACCCATCTGTTTCGCTGTTGTTGAATTTCAGTGATTGGCTTGCCTTCTTTGTCTTTGACCGGCCTCTCTGGTTTACTGTATTTCCCTGATAGTTTCTTCGTTGTATCGTGAAGCTGTTTCATATTTCCTTCTCTAGCAGCTTTTTCTGCCGTCGTTGCTAATTCTTCCACGTATTTCTTCCTGTCGGCGCTAATGCTCCTCTTCACTTGCTTGTTTGCTTCTATATATTCAGCTTGTGCTTGGACTTTCTCTGCTCGTCTTCGGCTGTTGTTAATTGCTGTCTTCTTGTTCTACCTTTCTTTGATCTTGTCCAGTGTTTCTATAGAGATTCATTCCTTATGATGGTGTTTCTTTAGGCCCAGAACCTCTTGACATGTTGAAGTCAACGTTTCTTTGATGCCTTTCCAGTTGTCCTCTATAGTAGTTTCTTCTTCCTTCAGTAGATCTTGAAAGGCTTGGAACCTGTTGTTGAGAGCTATCTTGAATTCATTGAGTTTGTCAGTATCTCGAAGGAAGGCTGTATTGAACCTTTGTAGTGCTGTTTGTCCACTTGCCCAGTTCTTTTTTAGCTTCAGTTTTGAATTGGCTACAACCAGGTGGTGATCTGAAGCTACGTCAGCTCCTCTCCTGGTTCTCACATCTTCCATTGTCCTTCGGAATTTTTTGTTGATGCAAATATGATCTATCTGGTTCTCTGTAGTGTGGTCCGGTGAGATCCATGTTGCCTTGTGTATACGCTTTTGTGGAATTATTGTGCCTCCTATGACTAATTTGTTGAATGCACACAAATTTGCAAATCTTTCTCCATTTTCGTTCCTCTCTCCCAGTCCATGTCGTCCCATAATATCTTCATATTCGATGTTGTCTATTTCGACTTTGGCATTTAGATCTCCCATTAGAATGGTGAGGTCCTTTCTTGAGCATTTCTCTATGATTGACTGCAGCCGCTCGTAGAATTGATCTTTAATGTCGTCGTGGCTATCATTGGTGGGTGCATAACATTGGATAATATTCATTAAGATCCCCTCCTTCTTTGTTTTGAATGATGCTTTGATGATTCTGGATCCGTGAGATTCCCATCTTACAAGTGCATTTCGTGCTACTCTGGACAGTATTAAAGCAACTCCCTGAGTGTGAGGAGCATTTTCCTCTTCATGACCGGAGTATGTAGCATCTCTCCCGTAGCTAGCCTTTTCTGTCCAGAGTGGGTCGCTGATTCCCAGTACTACTAAGTTGTATCTCCTCATTTCCGTTGCTATTTGACTGGTCTTCCCGGTCTCCCACATTGTTCGGACGTTCCATGTACCTATAAAAATGTTTGCTCTGGTTGTTAGAAGGGGCATCGGCTTCGTGGCTTCCTAAGGAACTCGGCTGTCACCATGAAGCGTCATAATTCTTCTAAATGAAGACCTTCTAACTCTCAGGGCAGAGTTTAAATGGTTTGAATTATTTTTTCTGATAAGCGTTGTTTAGCGAGTTAGTTTTCTACGGGATGGGGACGCTAACCCCATGCCCAACCCTCCTCCTTTACCCGGGCTTGGGACCGGCAGTAACTCTAGAAGAGCTACAGGCGGAGTTATCCATTCACATAGTCAGTATATAATTGTCTAGTTAATTATTTACAATCTTTTACAAAGTATAGTCGTGACTGTAAATATGCATACTCATGTAGTGTTTTTGAAGCGATGTTATTATTTAGTTGTTTAAAAATATACATTTTTAAATTTCATCCAGGATACTGTAAGGGATTCAGATATCATGAATTTTTACGAGTACATGCTTGTCAATAAATATAAATATATAGCTGGATAAATCTAACGTCTGATAATCGTCTAAAACATTTTTCTTTTGTTTTCTTTACGCAGGGCTTATCGAATACAGAGCTGCACAAAAACTTCAGCCAGATGATGACACAATTAGAAAGGACATTGAAAATTTAGAGAAATTTGTAAATCAAGAATAATTAATATATTGCGAAGCTACTTAGACTCATTTCTACATTAAATTTTTGTTGTGACTTTGTCTTAGGGATAAATCAGGTAGAGTATAGACATCCATTTACTTTTTTCTAGGTTGCTGTAAATGATAAGTATAAAATTGACAATTTTGGTCATACCCCCTTAACTTTGCCATTTATCACATTCTGGAGTCTATTCCACCTTAAATGCTTTTTATTTATGTAAGACTATCTCAGGCAAAAAATATTTTTCGGTTCCATAATTTTCCATAAGCCACATAAACTGTATCTGTAACCATGAAATGTGCTTTGGACCATGCGATTATAAATTGATTTTACAAGATTATTGAAAGCCTGTGTACATACCTACCCTTGGGGCTGAACCGTTATGAGTTGTCAAAACCTCTAACCATTAGGTTAGAAATATGTGATTGTGTGACATGTTAGACCGAACCAATCTTTATATGGCGAAACGCAGAATATTGTTGTCTACATCAAACGGTATTTAATATTAGTATCTACAAGTAGTACTGAGGGAGAAATGATGTATATATATAATGCATCTAGAAATATGTTTTGCGAAGTAATATTTAAACATATCATGGCACCGAAAACAAGAATTCTATCAGAATGGTATTTTCTACTACAATAGTGGATGGAAAATCTACCTATTTTCAATAAAACAAGAAGAAAATGGAGTTAAAGTAATGTATGAAATTGGGAAATCAAAGCGGGATTCAACTAAATACAGCAAAAATTCTAGAAATTAGTTACATAGTTTAGACTAATTTGTTCGATTTGTAGATGAGTTTCACCATGAAATGATATTAGTTGGAAAATAATTGAAAACCAGTGAGCCGTAGATAGTTATTTACTTTGTCTTGGACCTCTCAGTAGTGTACAATAAAGTTGAACATACACCTAGTTTCGCGTTTGAACATCATATTGTTACACCTCTGAATGATTCACATTTTCCCTCCTTAGTGGTACTCGTGAATGTGTTCACTCTCAGTTTTAGTAGTCCCATAGGTCATCAATTTCCTTCAGTACTCTGACGAGATCATTACAATTCTGATCACCAGTGTCTCAACATCGAACTGAAAATTATTATATAGCTAAGTGAATTATGTACCTCATTTAATTTGTCAGTCTGTGATAAAAATGTTATATCGAAGCAATAGTTATTTTCCTTACTTAAATTTTGAAGTTTGTGGAGGAACTCTTTTTCTACTTTTTGAAAAGTCATTTACAGAGTCAGAATCATATTAAGTCAAATGACGAAATATGTTTTGGTACTGTAGTTTTTTTCTATCATCCTCGATACTATAGTAACAGTAAAATTAAAACAGTATGTTTCAAATTAATGAATATTTGAGATGTTAAAAGCCAATGGTTTTCTTAAATACTGATCATGAAACAAATTTAAATTCAATTCGAATAAAGGCTTCCTGATTTAATTGATTTCTCACTATTAAGATTTTGAGGATTATATATGCAATCAAGTCTTCACTACTTGTGAGTAGACAAAATGAGTATTGAAAAAGACAAACTATTTGTAGACAATGTTCACTGTATAAAGCAATTTTAGTCAGTATCATTATATGGTTATGATTTTTCAAATATGTTTCGAATTCTTCAGTGGACACTGAAAAATACAAGAAATCAGTTGTTTTAAATGATACGTAATCAATGTTAATGACAGTTTGAAATTTGTTTCCTGACTTGTGTTCTGACAGCTTAATTAGTCATTATAAGAAGGCTATAATATCTCTGTAGAATCCTGTCTCTTAGTTATGATTTATTAGTTTCTTCTATGACAAAATTTTTTGTTTGAGAGTGATACTCAAGTCATACAACATCCCATATAATCCAAAATCGTAGTTCTTTTTGCAGCGACAGACAATAATCTTAGTTTGTTAGCATTACTGAAATACCCTGAACATAATCGAAAGTCCAATCCAATACCTTTTGCTGGAAGTATACTAGACTTACGAATGGCAATTAGTTGGAGAGCCTGAGATTATTCTGATGAATAAAATGGATTATTTAGATAAGATGTTTTGATTTTCATAAGTTTTTCATGTCTAAATAGTACATAGTACTAGCCATAAGTAAGTATGTGACCGATAGGTACTCAAGGAGATCTTAGCTGATAATTCAGTTCAAGAATACGGGTAATGGCCTAATGTAAAGACATTAAACAGTAGTGTTAGTTACTTACGTTTCTATAAAAATAATCTACTAAATTGGATTAGGTATATGATGGAATCAGATGTGGAAATCGTTATCCTTATGGGCCGACACTACCTAATTGAAAGCTGGACATCCATGAGCATTGGATAAAACTTTTGCGGTGGTTTAGTACTCTTCAAAAATCATTGTCAATAATTACATACATTATTGAATCTATACCCTTCAGATTTGGAAGTAAACACTATACTTTTGAGACACGGAGTTGTAATATGGTAGTCCACCTTCTTAACTCTGACCAACTTATAACTAGCATGTTTCGTATGAAAATCATTGTTTATTCTTACTTATTTCTCACTTCTCTATCTCACTTTCATTATATGATATCGTGAATTATCTGAGTTTTCTTTCATTCCAAATCCCAAACAAGTGTAAATATTTTAGCAATCAAGTCGTTTTAATTATTCCTGTAATCTTGTTTTCATCAATCTTTTTTGCAATTATACAAACGATACATGGAAGCTTAAATATATTATTTTGTTTTTATCCCCTAACTAAATTCTTGTTACACTTTCGCGAAAATTACAGAAGATAAACTTCTCATACAGTAGGTTAGAAAATGATGATGAATATGTATCTGATGTTTTCCAATGACTGACACAAGTGTATAAAATAGAGCTGTATTAGTTTAAGATGTGTTTAATAAAGATCCAGACAATACTGTACTGATATCAATTGCTTCTTTAAAATCGATCAGTAATATTTGAGGAGTTCCACAATAGAACGAAACGGCCATTCAGTGCTTCCAGGTTTTCCATCGTAGTCTAGCTTCAATTGACTCATGATCTCAACTATTGAATTTGCTATAATATCCGCAAAAACCAATTTTAATAATATTTGTATTAAACCATGAAAAACTCGTTTTCATGATATTCCAAATCACATGTACAAATGCAGCATACAAAGTGATTAAAATGTATGTTAATTGAATTTTAATCAGTAACTTGACTTATGAATACATGACTAAGTAATACACAGTAATCATATGTTTCAATGAAGCTTTTATGTACCACTTTTTGTCAGGTCCCATTAAAAACTGGCGAGATTTTAATCATTTCAGTAACTAATTTATTTATACACCTCCAATCAATAAAAATGTAAAGAAATTATATTAATTTTTTTTTTGGTTGACAACAAAGTTATTCAATGAAAAGCAAAAGTACAGCATAAAATTCTTTTCTCATTATAGTTCATAAGTAAGTAAGTGATATTACAGTCACTAGGTTAAAAAGAATTCTTATTATTGTATCCTATATAACTCAATTGTACTTAAATACTTTTTACTAAAAGTGAAATGTTTGATATTGTCTATGTAGAAAATTCATCCTTTTATATTTTGATATAATATCGAGTTAACATAAAACTGATGAATTGTAGAATAAAGTATTTTAATGTTTAATATAATATATTACACGATGTAATTTTATTCTTTGTAATTGTCTATCCCCAATATTCAGTAGGATTCTTTGTTAAAATGTTTGTTTGTAACTTTGCTATAAATTTAATAGATCATTTTTAGAACGATAAAATAACAGGTTTGAAGAAAAATTCTTAAAGACTAATCATACCTATATATTGGTCATCATTATAAATTGCAATATTATATTGAAAAGTATGTGATCATATCAGGCTTAGATTTCTGTTGTCCATTTATGATAAAGATTCATACCAATGGTAGATATCCTTTGATATATTCTTTGACATATTTGTCTTTTAACTATCCAAATTACAGAATACTAGATATTTTATTGACGCTATAGTTACTGACAGAGTATGGTAAATTTAACTGAACTATTTATTTCTACCTCTATCATCAGTTCATTAAATTTGTTTTATTCTGTCTGCTCTGAAGTTTTTTCTCTCTCTAACATTCTTTCATACTCCTTGTCTCTAATGGATAGTTTTAGATTTATTCTCTTCTCTTCTCTGGCTAGCTGATTTTTTCTGAGCTTATCAAAATATATGTATTACCTGATTCTTTTCTTTCTATACTATAGAACTCCCTTTCACTAATACATGTGCTCACATGTTTATTCAATCATCAAACATTTTATTATATTGCAACATATATACATATTATATGTTCCCTTGTTGTTTTCTTATTTTGTTCATGTTTCATATGTATAATGAAACAATAATAATATTTGAAGTAATTTAACGGTATACTAAAATTCAAAGATAGACAAGTTTCGCAACATGCTCATGAAAGAAAGCAAACTACCCATTAATAAAATAAAAGATTGAGCCTGATAAATAGAAATATAACAGAAGTATTGAAAATAAAACAGTCTGAACACTAGTAATTGTTTTTCCTAAACAAGGAAAGAAAACCAGAACATTCAAAAGGGTTGATGTTTATTTTATATTTCCTTCTTTTCACTCAGTTGTATTTTCATTTTGGGAAGTGATCTGAGAACTACGATTAATTTACCTCTAGTCCTTCTATATAACAAGAGGGATAGGTTTAGCTTGACAGATTCTTGTCATATGGTAGCTTTTTAATTCCGATAATCAACGAAGTCGTACTCCTTTAAACCTTCTTCAATTACTTACTGTATTTTTTAGGTAGAAGATGGCCGCTTGTGTGCAATACCCAAGTTTAAAATGAAAAAACTGTTATCAAAGTAAGAAAGATTTTAGCAACGACATAACTGAAGACTCAACGTATTAACCATAGGGTTCTAAAACTTTTGGCAGGTATCGCACGACAGTGTGCCGTAATTATCATGTTTTGGCTAATGATGACTCCTCTGTCATTGTGTGGGGAACAGGTAATTCATTGTCATTCATCGTGCATTTATCTGTATCTTGGTGACCAATATGTACCATAATGCATTTAGAAGCACTTGTAGACGGCTCCTAAACACTAGAC